AAAAAAAAAAAAAAAAAAGGGTGCTCTGTGTTTTTAGTCATGCTGGGGCTTAAGAAAAACCCTTTTCATGGTTACACTGGAATTGTGTGTTATGGAGGCAAGGGAAGTAGCCAGGTACATGGGTCTTAATATCTGGACCACTTGGAAAGTGGAGTCATTTTCTTATCCTTAGTCCAGATTTCTCCTTTCCTCTATATTTTCTCTGATTCTAAGCCTTCTATTGGCCAAGTGGCAGATTGTATTCCTATGCTCCTCCTCACAAATAACCATGGACAGAACAACTCTGAATTTGAGTGGTATTGAACACAGCACTGTGTTTTCCCTGTACTGTCAGAAATCTGCATGCTAGCTAGCCTGTCTCTCTCAGTGGGACCCTTATCCTTTCTGTTGGTCACTCATGGGGAGCAGTTCAGTGAGAAGTTTTACCTTCAGCCTCTGTGTTGAGCAGCATACTGGTCCTTTTTGGAAATAAATTTTGGCCTCAAAATTGTCTTGGCTGACCTGCCTTGGCAGTCACAAAGGCTGTTTTCTAGCCACAGCCCTACTGTTAAGCTGCTTTATGGCTTTGGGCCTCAGGTTCCCCTTCTGCTCTATGTAAATGATAATTATGCACCTCCACTGCAGGATTAACCTTTTATTTTCAAGGTTAAATGAAAAATAAAGGGTATTGAAAGCGAGAGCCACCTCTGATGAGAAAGAAGAGTGGATAGTTGGCTGATTTCATTGCTTTGTTAGTTCACGGCAAATCCCTAAGTTTACATTCAAAGCTGTTTCAGTTTCTGTTAGGGCCTAAGAACAGGTGGACGGACTCTCTTCTGCAGCTATTTGAGATCATGTGAAAGACATGGCTCAGGCACTGCTTTACTTCAGAAATGATAGCCTCTACCCTGTGAGTGCAGTGTTGGAACAGGAAATCCAGAACAGTTTTGCATCTGTTTTTCAGAGCAATTTTGTTTCTGGCTGGGGAAGCCAGATTACTGAGGTTCCCTTTCTGCCTGCAACACATCCTTTAGGTTAATACCTCCAAGGAGCAATTGAAGCGTCCTTGGTGACAAATTCATCAAATCTCTTCTGCACAATTAAATGAGCCATATGTTCTGAAAAACTGACTTCATGTGGGAGAATGAAGGAGTAACTCTCTTGACAGACATTGAGAATACAGTAATAGTTCAGATTCCTTACAAACTTTCTCTAAGAGCAACCTTCTGCAACATTTTTTTAAAAATTATTTTTCTTCCTTAGAAGGGATCCTAGGAATAGTGGAAGGAAACTTCCTATGGCAGTTGCTGAGCCCCCCGCTGTTTACCAGGCTCATGTTCTCCTCCAGGAGAAGCCTCAGCTGGACTCAGTAGCTTCAGCAGTGGATGCACCACCTGTCCTTCCAGACACTGGCTGCGGGTTCCATATATAAAACTAAAACTGTGTGTCCCCCCAATGTTTCTTCTGAAACCAGTTTCTTTCCAGAAAGGAGGGAGTTGCTATTGACTGTTTCTAGGGTAGAATGAGTCAGGTACTTCCCTAAATCTCCAGCTGCCAAACTTGTTCTCTTTTTTTCCTTAGCCATTCCCACAGAGCATCTTGCCTGCAGTTCCATTTCGGGAAACCTAGGTCTACACCTGGAGCTAGCTGGGAGAATCTGACCAGTAAGCAAAGTAGCCTGTTTTGTTGACGAATGGCACTTCTGCTGTTTCCGATGTCTGGAGATTGCTGGCCAATGGGCAGAGGTGAAGAGTATAGAATCAGATAAAGCAATGGAAGACTTATGTGTTTGGTTTTCTTCATGATGGTATAAATTTGTTCCCTTCAAAGAAGGAAAAGGTCTTAGGATAAGAGTCCTATATTTGTTTTTAAACTACTAGATATATTTGGTGTGGATATTGGTAAAGTTTTTTTTTCTTTCTTCCCTGATCTAGGGATTGAACCCAGGGTCTTTTGTGAGCTAGGAAAGTTATCTACCATTGAGCTACACCCCAGCTCTGTTAAAGCTTTTGTAAACCTTGATTGATCGATTCTTGGTTTATTTGGTGTGCTTAAAAGGGGGAAATGTTACAACTTCTGACCTTACTTTTGTCTCCTCTGATCAGAGAAAGTGGCAGAGTCAGACAGAAAAACTTTTTGCCTAGGAGTAGGGAGATCTGATTTCTTAGACTCAAAATCCCTTATACCCAAATCATTGCTTAATGATTTATAAGCCGTATCTTCACACTTGTGTCATTTGGTGGTTAGGATGATGAACTATTCCATTTTACAAGCTGATTTAAAAATTCAGGTCAGTTTGCTTTGTATTCTTTCACCTGTAAAACAGGAGTAATTCTTGCTTCTTAAAAAAATTTTCTTTGGGGGTCATACTAGGGGTTGAACTCAGGACCTTGCATTTGCAAGGCAAGAGGCAGAACCACTGAGCTAAATCCCTGACCCCCCCCCGATTTTTTTTTGAGAAATATAAAGCTCCTTGAGTCTGTTTCTTCCTCTGTTAAGTATAGCAAATACTTATGTCTCAGAATTGTTGAAAGGTTTAAGTGAAGTAATAAATATAAGAATAACTTGTCGAATACCTGCCATTTGGTAGTCACTCAAAGGGATATTTGCCAAATCTCTGTTATAAAAATGTTGAAAATCAAATAGGGTAATTACAGCGAACCGCCAAGAGAAAGTAAAAGCACATTTTAAATGCAACATAAAGCTAGGCCTGTACTCCCAACAACTCTGGGAAGTGGAAGCAGGAGGATCCCAAGTTCAAGCCTATGCTACCTATTTTTTTTGCTAATGGAGTCCAACTCGGGACCTTGTGCTTGCAAGGCAGGCGGCAGAACCACTGAGCTAAATCCCCGGCCCTAGCCTAGGCAGTTTAGAAGACTTAGCAAGAGACTTTCTCAAATAAAAAAATGTGGACTGGGAATGTAGTTCAGTACAAAGGCTCTGGGTTTAGTTCCCAGTACTGGGAAGTAGGGGAGGCAACATCATTGCTCATAGCAGTCAGAAAGTACAGGATTGGGTAATTGTGAAAGAGGCAGTTGCTGGCTGAATGTTGAGGAGACCTTTTGCCAGATACAAGTAGAGAAACAGGAAGGGGAGACACTGACTGCAGGAACAGTGCAGAAGAGAGAGATGCCCAGGTTTATCCAGTTATCTTTTTGTGGATCCCAGCCTAAAGATGTTGCTGCTGGCACCCACTTAAAAAGATGAACCTGATGTGCAGTAGTGTGCCCTGCCCCCACATCTACATTTTTTACTTTCTGTGGTTTTAATTACCATCAGTCAACTGCAATCAGAAAATATTAAATGGAGAATTTCACAAATGAACAACTTACAAGTTTTAAGTTGAATACCATTCTGAGTAGCATGATTAAATCTTGCACTGTCCTACCTGAAATATGAATATCTCAGTGTATCCATAGTGTATATGCTACCTACCCATTATGTAGCCATCTCAGTTATCAGATTGACTCATATTATCACAGTGGTTGTGTTAAGTAACTCTTATTTTACTTAATAATAGCACCAAATTGCATGAGTAGTAATGCTGACAATTTTACTACAGAATATTGTTATAAACACCCTATTTTATTATTGTCAATCTCTTACCATGCCTAATTATATATTAAACTTTATCATATGTATGCATAGGAAAAAACTTAGTTATACATTAAGTTTGTTATTATCTGGGGTCTCAGGCATCCACTAGGACTTAGAATGTATCCCCTAAGGATATGGGGGGGACTCCTAACTTTGTAAAATGTGAGGAAATGGGACTGATGTTCTAAAGGGAGAAAGGAGTGACATTATGAAGGGACAATTACATGCGAGAATTTTATAAAGCTGGTCTAATCGCCAGCTTAAATTAGTTTCATAGGCTGTATTCTGTTCATGTTTTGTGTTGAGATTCTTGGTCATGTGCGCTAGAGCCTGATCCATCTCTGGGTTTTGCTTCCTATTAGGAAGAAACTTGGCCTTAGGCAGCTGAAGCATGCTGAGCTTTGCTGTCACGACCCATCTGAGTTACATCCTGATCTAGGGCCCTGTATCTCGAGCTGGCCCCATGCCTGTCCTTCTTGAGCCACTTGTCCTGGACTTTGTTGTTAAAAGCCTTGTTTCTGTGCTCTAGGCTCCCAGAACCCTGGCCGAAGCTCACCTCCCCCTGGCTATGTGCCTGAGCGACAGCAGCACATTGCTCGGCAGGGATCCTACACCAGCATCAACAGTGAGGGGGAATTCATCCCAGAGACCAGCGAGCAGTGTGTGAGTACGGGGGATTGCATTGTGCACACAGCCTGTGTCAGACCAAGATGATGTCAGGGATTTGCCGGGGCACAGTGTACACTTGAGAGGTTAGAACTTCAAACGAGGCCCGCCCAAATATGGATTATTCTTTTCTATGGGCCAAATATCAATTCCTGCCAAAGAGGGGATCCAAGCTACCTAGCCTTCTTGGTGTTGGGTGAGCACTGACAGTTTCACTCTTAAAGTCCCTCACTGGCCTTCCCGCAGAACTATGTTCTGCTGTTTATGTTCTTCCTTACAACTGTCTTTCTTCGTTTTGGCAAGTTTTTACATATGACCAATGCTAAACTAACAGATTGTGTTTTTTATTGGCTTTATTTTAGTTTTGCTACTTCTCAGGGAGAGGTAGGACCCAAACAATATCCAAATTACACTGTAGGATTGGATAGAGTGACCGTCTGTGATGATAGACAGCTATTATTAATTATCTATTGTTACATAACAAATTACCACAAATACCGTCTTACAGTGATATAATTTATGCTTTAGTTTCCTTAGGTCAGGTGTCTAGACATTGTTTAGCTGGGTCCTCTGCTTAGGGTCACACAGGGCTGCAATCAAGGTGCTAGCCAGGCTGCATTCCTTTTCTTGAGCTTAGGGCTGTCTTCCAGGCTCACAGGATTATTGACAGAATTCAGTTCCTTGTGATTGCAGGGCTGTGGTTTCTGTTTTCTCAGTAGATGTCACTCAGTCCTGCTCTGAATGTCGTAGAGGCCACCTACAGTTTTTTGCTAAGGGTCCCTCTCACAATGTGGTGACTTATTCAAAGCCAGAAGGAAAATCTCTTGTTCCAGTTTGCAAAGATGGAGTCTTCTGTAACTTAATATAATCATGGGGTGAGCATCCTGTCCTCCTAACCCTAGTCTGTTGCCTAGAAGTTATAGGTGCTACTTGCATTTGAGGGGAGAATGACTCACTGTGACTCATTGGTCCATGTGTCCCTCACAGTACTCACCCATTGTAGTGTCTGTGTGTGTGTTACTGTGATTGAACCCAGTGTCTTTGCACTCAGCTGTATTCCCAACTCTTTTTTCAAAGAAAGGATCTCACTGAATCACTAAGTTGTCCAGCAGCCTTGAACTTGCATCTTCCTGCTTTAGTCTCCCAGAGCGCTGAAATTACAGGTGTGCACCACCACCATAGTTGGCTCTAATGGCTGGCTTTTTATTTTCTTGTAATTGATTTATTTTTGGAACTGGGGATCGAACTCAGGACCTTTCACTTGTGAGGCAGGCATGGTACCACTGAGCTAAATCCCTGGCCCCTGGTTTTTTAAGCAGTAGCTTACTTGATGAAAATGGCAGTTTGGAGTGTGGTGTCGTGGTGCCAGTCTGTAATCCCAGGACTCAGGAGGCTGGGGCAGGAAGATCACCAGAAGGCCAGCCTGGGCTACATAAGGAGTTCAAGGCCAGCCTGAACTACATAGCAAGACTGTTTCAGGGAAAGAAATTTTTTTTTGGTTTAGTGAACTCAGCAAATGTGAGATCTCTGACTTCATTCTGATTGTTTCAATAAGTTTGCTTTGATTGCTGTTATAAATTTCTAGAATTTGGTTTAAGAAGGGAAATTTTTAAGGGTAAAACAGCCAACAAAGGAGCCAGCACCACCACACGTGGAGTATTACAGGACAACTAATTCTGGTAACTTTTTATTCATTATTCAAATTGTATAAGCTGTGAGAAGCCCTTGACACTCTTTAGTCTCTCATCTGTATTCATTCCTACCTTCCAGATAAACTCACATTTGGAACCGTGACCTGGAGTACCTTTAGCTTCAGAGTCCTTTCCTGGAATTTTTCTGATGGGCCTTTCAGTTTCTCTCGCTACAGGACTTCTGGACAGTCACTGTTCTAAGGGTTTAGGTTGTGAAATCCCAGAGATTACAGATGAGCTGGATTGCCCTTGGTCTTTATCCCTCCCCATGATTCTTTACCTTGGCCCCTTCATTTTTCTACTTTACCTGCCTGGTCCTGGAAGGCAGGAGAGGATTTGACTCTTAGTGAGGACAGAACTTTCTAGAAAGAGGCCAAGAGTGTTGGAAGCTGGGAATTGCCAAGGCCCTTCTCTAGCCCCCACCCCTTTAGCTGAAGAGAATTCCTCCTCATAACAAGCCAGTCAAGATAAATCCACTTCACAAGGCTCTAAACAACATTGTATGTAGTAAAAGAATATTCGGTTGGGATTTTCTTTCTTTTTTTTTTCTTTTTGGTTTTTTGAGACAGGGTCTCACTATTTAGTTTAGACTGACCTAGAACTCATTATGTAGCCCAGGCTGGTCTCAAACTCACTGCGATCCTCCTGCCTCAGCCTCCCGAGTACTGGGATTATAGGTGTGCACCACCACGCCTGGCTTGGGATTTTCTTAAAGAGTGAAACTAAGATAACTTTTTTTGTTTTTTCTTTGATCAGGTTTAGGTAATAGTTGCATGTATTTGCTAACTAATAAAACATGATTCGCGTTAATTTTTGGGTTACTTTTTCTTACAGAAATTATGGTAGCACACTGTACCTTCCCTCGCTTCCACTCTGACTTCTGCAGCACTATCATAACAAGAGTCATTTTTTGCAAAAGCATTCAGTGGACTCAGCAGTTTTTCCCAAGGCCTCTCTAAACTTTTGTGTTTTCCTCCATCCTCATACCCGCCACTGCTGTTACTCTCATCTGTTTTCTTTTTTCTGGTAACTAGTCTAACTTTGCCTGATATGCATTTGATGGATTGGAAGCAACTCTTTCCCATATTGGTTTCATCCACCTTGGGAAGTCTTGTATCCTTAACAAATTTGCAGTTTACTTTGCGGTTAATTTGCTCTCCTTGGCAGATTTTTAAAAATTATATATGACAGTATGATCTGAAATATTTAAAATTATGAGTGGGGTGGATCCTAGTAAAGATATTTGAGTTGAAAATAATTTTGTGAAATTTTGTTAGTGAGTTTTCATCATTCTGATACTTTGCTTTCCTGCATAATGTTTAACTTTAGAACTCAGATGATGAATACTACAGTTAGCCTTCTGTCTGTGGGATCCATGTCTGGATTTATCCAGCTGTAAAATGAAAATATTTGGAAAAAAGTTGTGTCCACGTGGTAACATGTGCAGGCTTTTTTTCCTCGTCATTCTCTAAACTGATAGTTCACTGCATTTACATTGTACGATGTATGATAAGTAATTTAGATATAATTTAAAGTAGACAGGAGGATATGCATGGGTAATATGCAAATAACATGTCATCTTATATAAAAGACTTGAGCCTGTGTAGAGTTTCGTATCTGCAAAGATCCTGGAGCCCATCGCCATAGATTCTGAGGGATGTCTGTGCTCTGAAAGTTAGGACCCTATCTCCATTTCCAGAAAAGTACCTTCACTGGGGAAAAAGCTATTTTGAAGGCTTTTTGTTAATGCAGTTTATAAAGGGCCAGAGAAATACTTTAATTTATAGATACTTTTTACAGAGGTAATAGGAGGCATCAGGACCAAGAACTGGGGAATTTTTGTTCTGATACCAGCTGTGCACTAACTAGTTTCATGCCGTTAGACAGGTCTCCTATCATTTCTCAGTCTGCAGTGCTCATCTGTGAAGTGAGGTAGTGCCTTTCTTTGGAAATGATGAATTATCAAGTGTAAACAGAAGCATTGAGGTCCCACCCAGATTCACTGGACACCTCTGCAGTGTAGTACCATGTCCAGTGCCAGACACTAACGTTGGTGAGCCAGGAAAATGCCAACAAGAGAAGCAGCATCTCTACTTTGCTCTCTTGGCAAAGCTCCTTGGAATGCCAGCCAAGCATTTTTCTCCCTCCTGGAAACTTGCCTTTCAGACTTTGGGGAGAATGACACCTTACTAACCATTTTCCCTACTGCATGAGAGGAAAAAGGATATTTTAACAATAGAGTCAATGTGCTGGCCCTGAGTAGGTCACAGGGCCCTGGTCTCCTGGCTGGAATTTGTTTCGGGATTGGTTTTATCATATGACTTGTCTTGCAGATGCTGGATCCCCTGAGCAGTGCTGAAAACTCCTTGTCGGGAAGCTGCCAGTCCTTGGACAGGTCAGCAGACAGGAATGGGGCTGTGGGTGGTTTGGGTGTTAATGCATAGGCATTTTAGGAAGTGATGGGTTGAGGAAGTAGACTTACCACTTACCAACTGTATCTCTGACCTAACCACATCTACAGGCCCAGGGTTAAAACATCAAGCTTCTAGGAAAAACCTTTCCTTAATTTCTCAAGCACCATGATAGGGCCGGGAGTTTGCTCAGTGGTGTTGCCACCTGCCTTGCAAGCACAAGGACCAGAGTTCAATTCCCAGTACCAAACAAACAAACAAACAAATGATCAAACACCACGACAATGTTTTATTTACATAATAAAATGAGCATAGTAATAGTTTATAGGTGGGTATGGTGGTGGCGCATGCCTGTAATCCCAGCACTCAGGAGCCTGAGGCAGAAGGATTGCCACAATTTTGAGGCTATCCTGGACTACAAGGCCAGACCTTGTCTTAAAAAAAAGCTTATACAATAGCTTATTTATTAAGTGCTTTCTGTGTTGTCCTGAGTGTTTTACATGTTTTGACTTTCCACATAATATATGCTGCTCTTATACTTTTATTGGCCTCATCGCTGAACTGAGAAACAATGTACTGTTGAAGTTTGGGGGGAAAACTGAATTTTCACTCATTTTCATTTTTTTCCTCCAAGTGTTTCTGGTAAAATAAGAAAGGGACATAAAAATAAGAAAATAAAATAACCAGACTGCGTGGTATACCACACACTGACTGCCTGTAGTAAATCCTGTTCTTTTGTGGGTTTTTTGAGACAGGATTTTCACTGTGTAGTTCAGACTGGCCTTAAACTCACAGCAATCTTCCTGCCTCAGCTTCCGAGTTCTGGGATAGGAGATGTACATCACATGCCCGGCCCTAAATCCTGCTCTTAGCACTGTGAGGGAACAAGTGCTACCCTTTAGAGATACCAAGTAGCTTTGTGGGGCAGGGCTTAGCTCTGGTCCTGCTCTTCCCTTGCCCTGATCTTGCTACAATCATCTCTAGTAAGCTTAGGATGGTCAGGGAGCAGGTTTGGGGTTTTTAATTTTTTTATTTTTTAAATTTGCGTAACTGACTAATCTTTCATGCGAGATCTGATCTTGTGACCGTGGCCAAATTTGTACAGTGTCTTTCCCAATAGGCCTGATAAAGTTCTGTCTTCCTCTAGATATCATAGAGCCATCGTTACTTGTTGGGCTTGCTTTCCAACCAGGGGAGCAAAAGCCACCAGTAAAAGTGCCAGGAGTTGCTGCCACAGGCTGAGGCCTCTGCTAAGACAGGGTGACTGGCTTTAGACTGTCTCCTGAACTTTGGGTGGGAGGGAGGACAGGTCTAGAAGTGGGGCAGTAGGGGACATCCCGAGTCACTGCCTTGAGAGCTTCTAACCTGTGGCTCTCTCAAAAGGCACTTTCATGTTAGGGCAAGGGCCCCTCAGGTGGGTGCTGACAAAGATAGCTGAGTTCACCTGCTTTCTTATTCTTAGGTGTTTCCCATCCCTACAGTGCTTTTTTCTTCTCCCGGAGACCGACTTCTCTGAGGTCCAGCCTGCCCTGCACTCAGGGCTTCTCGTCTTACCTTTTTGGAAACTGGAAAAGGGCAGATCTGGATCCAGATAGGCCTAGACCCAGTCCCCACTCCAGCAGACAAGTCCCTTAACTCTGAGTTCCTCGGTTTCCCCATCTCTAAAATGGGCGGGTTGGTTAGTCTGAAAGGAAGATGCCTCATATTGCAGCAGCTTGTGGTCCTCGGGTTAGAGCCTCGCTCTGCTGCTGCTTCTTGTATCATTGGGCAAGTCGGTAGGAACGTTCATACCTGACCTACAGGGCGTCTGCGGCAGATGTTCTATAATTGGCACCTGATACTATTTTTATATTTTCTTCCTCAGAGTTGTGAGGATTAAATGAGAAAAAGCTCAATTCTAAAATCAATCTGAAAACAGCAGTTTGTAAGCTACAGTGTTGTCTTTTTCACTACCTGGGCCAGGAATTTTCTTTCAGCTCTTCACCTGTTACAAAGGTGGGAAGAAAGGCTAAGAAAAGAAAAGGGTGCTCAGCTACGGTAGCGTTCAGTAGGATGGACCTATTTATCAGCCGGGGTCCTGTCAGAGTTGGGCCTCTGATTAATGAAAGGAAGGGGAGAAAGCAGGAGACCAGGTCCGGAAGGGCTGCTCTCCTCCTCCTTGGCTTCCCGCCTGTGCCTGTGGGACAGTTTGCAGGGGAGACGACCCACCTGGATGCTTTGCCTCCCTTTCTGCCCTCTGGGCTGCACTGAGATTTATTTTGTGATTCCTTATTGTTTTCTCCAGTCCATCGTTCCGGAAATCACGAATGTCTCGAGCCCAGAGCTTCCCAGACAATAGACAGGAATACTCCGGTGAGTTCCAGGAGCCTGGGTGGGCACTACAGGATGTCTGGGTCAGGCCAGGAATGGTTCTGAGTTGGGAAGCCTGGACTGTACGGAAATTCTCCTGGGCCTGCTGCTGTAGGCTCTCAGGTGACCTGGGGCTTATGTGGCTCACTCACGGTTTGTCCCAGAAGTCAGTGATTCCCCTGTCTCACTCAGATCGAGAAACCCAGCTTTATGACAAAGGGGTAAAAGGTGGAACCTATCCCCGGCGATACCACGTGTCTGTGCACCATAAGGACTACAATGATGGTGAGTGCGTCTCCATGCTGCCCCCCTCTGGCTGCCTTGGGAAAGACCATGTTTCGCGTTTTACCGTGGAAAACAAGGGAACGGGGAAACTGGAGCTCCGAGCTCTGCATTTCTGTTTATTCCTGAGGAACTGCCCCAGATTTGAGAAGGGAAAGGCAGAAAACTAGCCAGATAGGGAGGATGGTATTTTAGAGCAGAACACTACCACTCTGTTGTGTCCCTGGGGTGCTCTGGGGTGCCTCCTCTCCAAAGCCTTCCGCCGCAGCTGCAAAAGGACTGGAACTTTGACTTGGGTGGATGCTGAGGACAGCAGCCTTTCTGGCATGAGTCAGGTGGGAGGGCAGATAGGCTAGATCCGAGCTGGTGTGATTTGTCCCTTCCAGCATAACATTCAGCCTTATGACCCGGGGTCTGACTTGCTCTGCTGTGGCTCTTGCACCTTTTCAGGCAGAAGAACATTTCCCCGAATACGACGTCATCAAGGCAACCTGTTCACTCTGGTCCCTTCCAGCCGCTCCCTAAGCACAAATGGCGAGAACATGGGTCTGGCTGTGCAATACCTGGACCCCCGTGGATGCCTGCGGAGTGCAGACAGCGAGAACACTCTTTCTGTTCAGGAGAGGACCGTGCCGACCAAGTGTGAGAAGCGCCCCTGGCTAGGAAGAGGCTGCTAAGGGTGCTCAGACAAGCCGCAGGGCAGGAGAGCAGCCGGGCCTCGGGTGGTTAGGCGCACTCTGCTCCTCTGGCCCATCTTCTCTGCACGGAGAGCCTTGGAGCGGGTAGCACACCCTAGACCTTATGCCTGACTACTGCTGTGGACTTCTGTCTGGTCTTCAGTTGTTCTCTGCTCACACTGAAGAGCATACCCTCAATTCCTGCCATATTATTTAGGAGCTATGGAAGTAAAACTACTAGATCAGTGCGGAAGAGCACTTTACAATGACCTTAGCTGTCCTCTGCTTCCTAGGATTCTGTCCTTACGGCCCCATTGACCAGGGCATTGGGTCTGTTCCAGGTGGGGTGGAGGTGCTAGGTGTGGGCGGGGCCTGAGTCAGAGGCCGTGATCTAGCATCTGGAGAACGAGAAGGGTCTCTGCAACGAGCATGCATTTCCTAACACAATTTCTGCTGTTTTTCTGTAGCTCCTAGTGCCCCCATCAATTGGCGCCGGGGCAAACTCCTGGGTCAGGGCGCCTTCGGCAGGGTCTACTTGTGCTATGATGTGGACACAGGACGTGAACTTGCTTCCAAGCAGGTCCAGTTTGACCCGGACAGTCCTGAGACAAGCAAGGTAGCACCTTCTCCATTCTCTAACCTCTGTTTCTTCCCTCCCAATGAAGATGTCTGCCTTATTACTGCACAGATGAATTGCTCAAGGTGCTACAACTTGCCTCCCTATCACTCTTCTCCCAAGCTCCCTTGCTATCCATTCTGGCCATGAAGCATCTGGGGGAGGAACTGAGTCCATACCAGAGTCCCAAGCAACCCAAATTGAGAAGTGATGGCCAGTGTACTACTCCCTGTCTTGACTTCCTAAACAGATACCTCTCCCCAGGCTGGTCTCAAACTCACAGTGATCCACCTCTCCACCTCCTGAGTGCTGGGATTACAGGCGTGCGTCACCACACCCAGCTGTTTGGTCCAGTTCTAAAGGAGGAATATGTGGCTTATACCTCAAGCCTTCCCTTCCCCCGTCTGCCTCCCTCTAGGCCTGGAAATGCCACATCTGAGGGTTACCCAGCATCGTGGCCGAGGGCCAGACGGTTGAGAAGTCCCCCTTTTCTCCAGCCAAAGTTCCCAAGGCAGACCCTTGTGAGGTATAGATTAAGGCAAGCTGAGCTGACCCCAGGCCCTGAGTGCCCAGGTGACCACTGGCCCCTCCATAGGAGGTGAGCGCTCTGGAGTGTGAGATTCAGTTGCTGAAGAACCTGCAGCACGAGCGTATAGTGCAGTACTACGGCTGTCTGAGGGACCGTGCCGAGAAGACTCTGACCATCTTCATGGAGTATATGCCAGGGGTATGTGCTCCTTGAATGCATGCAAGACTCACACAAAAGGGCCTAACCTGGAACTGAGGGCTGCAAGGAGGATCACCTTGGAGCTGGGTCTGACCCCCGAGCTCCAGAGCACAGTGCAGCCAGGTGGGATGATGGCAGAGCTTGGTGTCAGGAGGACCCTCTCTATGGCTGCAGTGAGGGTTTGAGGTGAGAACTGTCGCAAATCCAACTTAACCTGAAGTGGGATGGCCGTTCACGTTCCAGTAAGTATAGCGTTCACCTGGAACTGAGGCCTTTTCTCTAACTTGCATCCCGCAGTGCTTGAGGGAAAGACTGTTTCTTGTTTTTTTCCAAGCTGTCCAGCAGCTCCTAGCAAAGTGTCTTCCACATCACAAATGGGTCTTGGTTGAATCGCTGCTTTCCTGCAGTCCTGGGGGCTGGAAGTAGCCTTGCTCGCTCCGCTCCCGTAGCCATCCCCTGAGAGGACTCCCTCTGCCCCCTTGTGGCTGGTAGGGCTCAGTGAAGGACCAGTTGAAGGCCTACGGAGCTCTGACGGAGAGTGTGACCCGCAAGTACACGCGGCAGATCCTGGAGGGCATGTCCTACCTGCACGGCAACATGATTGTCCACCGGGACATCAAGGGTGAGCAGGGCGGGCTGTGAAGTCCTCACGACCGCATGCGAGGGTACCATTTAGTGACTAGGGCCAGTGTATCATTCTGAACTTTCTGGAAAGGACCCCGGGTTCTTCCCCAGTTGGGGGTTGGCTTGAGATTGGTTGAACAATTTGGGGAAATACCCTCTAGCGCTGTGCAGATGTTGTCCACGGAGATGACCACTTTGTGCTGTGGGTGTGTTGTGCAGCTCCTGTCTATTTCAGTGGTAGCCCTGCCCTCCCAGCAGCTCTCAGCAACCTGGAGGGAGGATGGTAGAAAATGGAAGCATCTCAGGTGATTGTCTCTACCCTTTCATGTCTTAGGAGCCAACATCCTCCGAGACTCTGCTGGGAATGTGAAGCTGGGGGACTTTGGAGCCAGCAAACGCCTGCAGACCATTTGCATGTCAGGAACAGGCATGCGCTCAGTCACCGGCACACCCTACTGGATGAGCCCCGAGGTGATCAGCGGCGAGGGCTACGGAAGGAAGGCAGATGTGTGGTGAGCATTAGGACATGCTGGGGTCCTGTCTTCTTGCCTTGGGTAGAGTAGCTCCCAATTGGAGTTCACCTGGGTGTGGTAGGAGAGACTGAGGACTGAGGGTTCTATCCGAAGCACCCGCCCACAGAAAGTGGAGGTAAGGACAGGAGGTCATGGGCAGTGGGAGCTGGGACACTGGAAGCACAAGGCTGGAGCAAGGTGAGAGGGACAACGAGCCAAAACTGCATGGGACTGGGGACATCAGTGGGAGAGCTCGTGTTTACCACATGCAAGGGCCTAGGTCCAATTCTCAGCATGAGGACAGGGAAGAGGTGGGGAGGGAAAGGAAGTGGCGGGGACAGAAGCTCAGAGTTTCCAGAAGGAGCCATCCTTGCTGATGCCTTAACTTTAGCCCAGGGAGATTGATTTTCGACTGCTGACCTCCAGAACTATTGTAGTCATGCCACTAAGTTTGTAGTAGTTTGTTACAGCAGCAATAGGAAGCAAATATAATTGTCCTGGAGCACTACACACACACACACACGCACACGCACGCACACACACACACACACACATGCACACGCACGCACACAAGCAACCATGCTAGAGATGGAACCCAAACACACACACACACGCACACGCACACGCACGCACACACACACACACACACACATGCACACGCACGCACACAAGCAACCATGCTAGAGATGGAACCCAAGGTCTCACACGTGACAGTCGTTCTGCTATTGAGCTGTACTCTTGGAGTTCTTTCTACCAATTTTTAGTGCTCCCTTTTCCCAGTCTCAAGAAGTCCCAAGGTGCGAGGCCTAGTGATGCCCACCTGTAATTCCAGCATTCTGGGAGCCTAAAGCTGGAAGAGCACAAGTTTGAGCCTAGCCTGGGCAACTTGATGACCTAGTGAGACCCTGCCCTAAAATTTTAAAAGAGGACTGGAGATGTAGTGTGAAGGCCTTGAATTCAGTCCCCAGTACTGCAGAAAGGAAAAAAATAAGTTCCCTGGTGGGTGGTAGGGTATAGGCTTGTCCTGTACGTGGACCCTGAAGGCTTACAGTGCTTTGCAGCCTCTTCTGTCCTTGGAGAATCCCGGGACAGCTGTCAGCTTGACCCATCTTGTGGAGGTCTCTCTCCACAGCAGTGGGTGCACGGCCAAGGCCTGGAGCTGTCTGAGGGGTGACATGGGGCTCTCTCTCTCCAGGAGCCTGGGCTGCACTGTGGTGGAGATGCTGACAGAGAAACCACCATGGGCAGAGTATGAAGCAATGGCCGCTATTTTCAAGATTGCCACCCAGCCCACCAACCCTCAGCTGCCCTCCCACATCTCTGAACACGGCCGGGACTTCCTGAGACGCATTTTTGTGGAGGCTCATCAGAGACCTTCAGCTGAGGAGCTGCTCACACACCACTTTGCACAGCTTGTGTACTGAGCTCTCAAGGCCATGCTGCTGCTGGCCACCCCTGCTGCATGGGCATGGGGATGCTGTGGGCCTTGACAAAGTCGCTGCTTCTCCCAGGCAAGGGTGTGGACCATGGAGCTGAGGTCCAGCCAGCATTTGTCTGTGCTCCTTCTGCCATTGGAGCTCAGAGCCAGAGGGGATACCTGCAGCCTCAAGGACTGGGAAACCCCAGCCTTCCAGAGCTAAGAGCTCCAGCATCCTTAGTTCAGTGTGGAGAGGAAGGGCTGGGACAGTGTGCGCGGCAGCTGTGGGCCCCATCCTTGGGCTGCCCTGACACTGCAGTCCACGCTGAAGCCCAGAGGGCCTGGGGCACAGGACTGACACAAGGGTTGAATAGTGTTATTTTCATTCAGAGTGTTATTGTTTCTCCTCCCAGTGTCTGGAGACCACCAGAGTGTCTGTGGGCTGGAGGAGCCCACTCAAGCCTAAGGTAAAGCCCAGTATCCCCCGACCAATGGAAGGCAGAGGCCCGGGCCACCCTCTCCTGTAGTGCCCCGGTCAGCTTCGCCAGTCCTTGTTCTTTACCAAAGATGAAGCAAATGTTATGCTGCCTTATTCAGGGAAGGAGGAGCCTGTCCTGCCTGTCCCCATGACCCTGCACCCTCAAGCAGGGGCCTGAGATGTGGAACTGCCCCCACTGAGCGGGGAGACCCAGTTTTGTCAATGCAATTGTCTCTGTTTTACAAGTTGGAGTCACTCTTATGCTGTACCCTGTTTCTAAACTGGAGACTTGTGTGCCTGCTGGGCTCTGAGTACCCCTGGGTGGGCTTGGACCTCGGGTTTCATTGGAAAGAGCTAGGGCGGTAGCCAGTGTGCTCCTGGCCTAACATTCATTCCCCTGCTGGAGCAGAGAAGGTAGACAGCACAAATGAGGGTATCTGGCCAGCTGGGTGCTGCCCCGGCAGTTGTCTTAGGCTGTGTGAGTCCAGAGCCCACGGGCTACCACCGTGTCCAAAGCCAACAGCGCTCCTTAGCCTACCTTGCCCATCCCAGTGAGGTTCAGCCTCTTTCCCTTCTTGCTCCTCCCGTGTGGGAGGAATGGCAACAGTGGTTGAGGAAACAGCATCTCCAAGCAGCTTAGAGTTGGCAATATTTACCTCAGCCTGGGCGCTGGTCCTTTCTTCCGGCCCCTCCCCTCCAAAATGTGCCTATTGCTTAGAGCTCCTCCCTCCCAAAGCCCGAACCCTTGGGAGTTGTCATTAAAGGGGGAAAACGCCAGTGCCCAGGGATGGGCATCTCCAGGGAGCTGGGGATTAGTGCCAGGCAGCTCACTGCCAGCCATGCCCACTTCCCCACGGGCACAGAACAAGCCAAAGCCTTCGTTGTATGTTGACGATGCACTTTTATGAATGTAGTTTCTATCGCTGTTTTTAGCCTTTTCACATCATGTAATGTGAGGCCTTGTACTTGTTAATTTATATCTCAGATCATATTTGATGGTTTTTATATATATATATCAATTGTAGACTGTTACAGGTGATGGATGCCTCGAGAAGAGAAAATGAAAGCAGCTGGTTTTGCAGAAATGTGCGCTGCATGGTGCCAATCGGGCCTGGGTCTCTTTATTCCCCCTTTCTGCAGGGGCTTCTGTCAGGCCACCTTCCACTGGCAACTGCCCTCTAAGGCCAGTGAACACAAGCTCCTGCCTCTACCTTGGCCCTTGCCCAAGGTGGGGACTGGCCCATCATCTCGACCAAAGCTGCCAAGCAGCAGCTCAGCCTCTCTATGACCCCATCCTAATCTCTAGCCCTCCCTGGCGCACACCCTGTTCCTAGTGCCCCCCATCTGCATCCCCCATGTGGGAACAGCGCGATGTCGCTGCCAAGATGAGATGACTTTGTCGCGGGTTCAGGTGCTCACAGAGCCCCTCCCCCAGGGTCTTACCTCACAGGGAATGTCTTAAAAATAAAATTAAAAGCAAGCCAATAACTCCTGAACTCCAAAAAACCTAAAATGACCCTGATTTTGTGCCAAAAACTGTGGACATGCTGGCTCAGCATCCTCCGGACCAAGCTGTTGCTTAATTTTAATTTATTGTTTTTTTACTAACTAATCCACATGAAAAGTGGGGCTCTAGGATGGCCTGACCCCAAGGTTCTTAAAGGCAGTTTGCTAACAGCCCCAGGCTTGATGTGGGAAGGGGTTACGCCATCTTCTCATCATTCCATTCCATGGGGTGTGTGCCCCACCCCAGAAGTGCCAGGGCTGGGCCAGTGCACACGCTGCCGTCCTCCTGCCCCTCCAGCTCTGTCTGTATCTGAATTGTGGATTGTGCAGAAGAACCTGCAGCCATAGTTATTTGACTATATCTTGACTGAGGGCTTGCAGTGCAAAGCCAGGCCAGTGTCGCGCATTACTTTCAATAAAAGGGATCATTTATACTAGAGGGAACCTGTGGCTATGCTTTTGGTTGGGGGGGTTGATATTTGGGAGAGGCTGAGTGTGGTGCCTAGCAACAAGCTGAAGCCCCTCAAGTAGATGAGAACTTGAAATGACCGCAGAATTACTTGGCTGGGTACCACTATCAGCCTGCAGTGGTCAGCCCTCTTCCCTTTCCCCTCCAGAAGCACCACAGGGAGGTACATCTGGGCTCATGTACTGAGGTGGTACTGTTCGTGCTTCTGACCTGGACATCACCAGTGGCTGGGTTCCTGGGGTTTGTAGTGCCTAAATAGGGTCTTCCAGCCCATCTTTGGTCCTATCCTTGCAGCACAGTAGTCAGAAGCCACCTCCAGCATGTTCCCCTGGCCCATCTACTGCTGTTGAATTCCAAGGAGAGACCTTGTTCTCATCACAGACCTCTTGATACAGGAAGATGGGTCTGCTCTGAGGCCAAGCAGCTCCTGCTCCAAGGACCTAGGCCTCAGGTGCTCTCTGCTTCTTTAAGAAGCAGTGCCTATCTTAACGGCACAGTGGTTCACCTGCCACCAGGGCCTGAGGCTCAGTTTTCTGGGTAGGAGTCAACCAAGGAACTTGGAGTTGTATAAGGTAGTGGCAGCAAATCCTCCAGGAGTCAGCTCACGTATTCCATGAGCCCTTTGGGAAAATGGGGACAACAGGGTCTGCAGAACAATCCAGACTTCTGTCATGAGGGGTGGAGTGGGGACTTTAGGTCCTCCAAGCTTGCCTTGTTCGCTGTAAACTGCCATCCTTCCGTGTGCCTGGGTTCTCAGGAGCAAGCAGCTTCTTGGACAGTCTCACAGGTTAACCCCAGAATTTGAAAAGGCACCAGAAAGGTGCAGCAATAAGGGGGAACAGACACGAGGAACAAAAAGCAGTAGTCGCTAAAACCTTCAGTAGCACCTACAGGTCCCCATGATTCCTTGCAAATTCCAGGGCACGGGGCTGGCTGTTTCTGAGGGAGCTGGACAGCTGAAACTAGCTAGAAAGGATGTCAGACAAGGACTCAAGTTTTCTGCCTTCTGCCCTGCTCTCCTCTTCAGAACAAAGTACATGGGAGTCAGTGGACCTGAGGTGTCTTAACTCAAAGCTGAGGGGGCAGTGAGTATGCAATAGTTGCAGGGGTGGTGTCCCGTTTGGGTGGAAGAGCACCCCCTTAAGCTGGCTCCTATTTCCCCCCATCAAGGCCAAGAGTGCTTCGGGCTGTTCCCTTCCCCCTTCATAGGGGGGGTCTGCATTCTTCCTGCCACGAAGCCCCCCATCAGGCCACATAATACAGAGTCAGGATCTATTTAAATGTGTTTAAAACAGGGTTGATCACAACAGTCATAGGGGCAGCAATAAGGGAGAGGAGAGGCGCGTGGAAGCTGCCCACCCAGCAGGTCTCAGGCTCTCAGCCTGGCAGAAGCTTTTAACTTCCTGGTGCGAGAGGGTCCCAAGCCCCCAAAAGGCAGGCAGGTCTGGCTTCTCCTTACCACTTCCCCATCCCCTCCCCCGACAGCAGAGGGGGCATCCATGAGGTCCAGCAGGTGGCGCACTCTCTCCTTTCAGTCCCTGTAGGACGGGGTTAAGGGCAGAGGTAGATGGGGAGACTTGGCGGCTGCACACAGCCCAGGTGGCAGTGAGGGTGCTTGGGTGGGACCCTGAGGGGGGCATGCTGACTCCTTGCTGGAGAAAAGGCACCTAGTTAGGGAAACTGGGCTTGGGGGCTTCTCGGGGCTGTGAGGTGGGGTGGGGTAGGCTGAAAGAAGCAGGAAGCAGGGTGATGAGCAAACTCCAATCCTGCCTCCCAAACCCCTACTCGCTGAGGAAGAAGGAAGGAATACTGGAGCAGCCCCTGCACCTGGCACCTTCTGCCTGAGGATCTTCACCCCCTACCCACCCAAGCCTAGAATCAACCTCTTTCACACCCCTCCCATGGCCCAGTTCCCAGGCCCTCTGTGGAGGGAGAAGGTCACAGGGGCCTCAGGCTGTCTTGGTGCCAGGGTCCACCTCCTTGTGGGTCCAGAGCTCCTTGTGCTGCTTGCGGCCGAAACCCTCATCGTAGTTGCCTTTGCTCTTAAACAGCTGCTGGAAGTGCGGTTTGCAGTAAAACTCGCCGTGCAGAGCCGCGTAGCTACCCAAGCTGCGGAAGTAGAACAACTAGGTCAGGCCAGGTCAGGGTCGAAAGTCAGGGCCCAGGCAGACAGGGCAGGGTCGCACCTCAGCTTGGTGTGGCAGTGCTTGCAGCAGAAGCAAGAGTTGTGGAAAATGAGCTTGTCGGCCACCAGCCGCTCCATGGGATACACAGTCTTCTGGCAGGCGGTGCAGGTCTCCTTCACTTGTGCCCGCAGGCTAAAGGACTGTAGGGGGACACTCAGCCATGGGCCTGGCCAGCACCCACCCTTTCCTCTGCCCACACCCACCCTGAGGACCCTACCTTGGAACGCTGCACAGTGCTGCTGCCACCACCGCCTTTGGCTTCCTGAGGGAGAGGGACAGCAAGGGCAGGGTCAGCTCTACGGTGGCCCTGCCCAGATCCCAGGTCACTTAAGAGGGGGGAAAAGGGTGCCAGGCAAACAGGCTACTCCTCTCCCTTCATTCTTCCCTCTCAGATGGTCACCTACGTGAGAGGGGGTGGTCTGGGCGGCTCCTGCAGCCTGGAACATGGCTCTTCGGCAGTGATGGAGGCCCGGGGCTCAGACTCGGCACCCGCTGGGTTCTGCAAGGGGAAGTCGTTCGGTGGGGCCCCACAAGCCCTTCCCCCAGCCTGCAGGGTGGGGGTGTTTACAGACCAGGGGCTGGGGGGCTGCGGTTGGGACTTTCCCCAAGTCATTTCCTGTTGCTCTCGGTTTTGCTACTTCCGCCCCTCACCCATCCCTTCGCCTGCCCGCCCCCAACGCTGCCCCCCAGGGGCAGGGTCCCCGAGTTGGAACCGTGCGTGAAACAAAGTTAGCGGTGAACTGCGGCGGACAGGGGGCGTGAAAGGGTCAGCAGAGGGGGGGGCCGGGCGAGAACCCGTTGCCCCCGCTTGATTCGCGCCGCGAGCTGCCCAGTGCCGGCCCGGGCGCATAGCTCT